CCTCTGGTAGGATCCCCATAGCTTCCATCATGGGATCTTGGAGACTTGGCATGTTGTGTGGCTTCTCTTTTGCCTGCTTTCAGCACCAGATGACAGCAGAAGTCAGGGGTGGTGGCACTTGATGAATGCAGCAAAGTTGGAAAGTTAATTCAATGTGTGAGTGTTCTTCTCGTGAGACCTTTAGGAAATTTGCTCTTCAGATCCATACTGTTAGTAGATCATGAAAATATTGAAGTAAAAGCATTACGTGAAGAATGTGTTTTTTTCTCTTGTTTATGATATCTGGTGTTCAGTCACACGTGAGTAGGCCAGCTTCCTTGCGGGTGTACTGGTTGGCTTTCTTTGCGAGGAGGAATGGGGAAGAGACTTGCTACTAAAATTCGATGCCTTTTTGGAGGAGAGGGGAGGGATCCTGGAGGGAGCATCTTCTCTGCCTCAGCCACCAGCACTGTAGACATGTGGCTTCTTTTTCTCTCTCCTCCCACCCCATTGCTTTTGGCATTATTTTACGCTCTAAAGGTGATCTCAGGATCAAACGAGTCAAGATTAAATGAAATTTGGTTCCCAAGCTATTTTCTGGAATGAAATCAATCAGCTTTAAAGTGCAAAGTGAAATAACTTGGGTGGGGGGGAGGGGAAGCTTATTGTAGACATGGATTTGGGTTGCTTTGCTTCAAGGAAATTGCTTGATGATTCACTGCCCGCCCCAGTGGCACAAACACAGCTTGCATTAAAGGAAGGTACGCAGACAAATGAGAACGTATAATGGCGAGTGAGCAAAGAGCTTTCAAAGTATAGCAGGTTGACCTCATTGCCAAGCAAGATTTTACAAGAGAAGCTGCAAACAATGCTGACTAACAGTTTAGGCCTCCTAAAAAGCCATAAGAGTGAATTTACACAGTTTAAAAATAAGTAGTTTATTTCACCTTTAATTTATCCCAAATATAAAATTAAGGAGATTTCTTAAAGGAGTAAGGCACAATACAGAGTAGAAAATATAACCTACCACCCTTATTTCCTTCACAGGAGCTGACCTTTAACTGCGTCCTTCATGGTAACTTTAGTTCTGGTGGGATTTAAAAGTAGATTTTAGGTGATATATTAGTTTTATTGCAGCCTGCAGAAATCATGAACAGCTCAACAGGAAAGTATATAATATGCTAGGAAACAGAGTTTGTTGTTGACTTTAGAAACCTGGGGTTTATTGTACTACACTAGCTCAAAAAACTCAGCAGTGGTGTTTTCCAGGCAGAGGGGCACAGTTTTAACACTTTAAAGTGGAGTTGTGAGCTCCATTGAAATACATTTGCAGATTGGTTTTTGGTCAGGCTCTCACTACTGGAAGTTATCTCAGAAGCCAGCAATGGGAAACAAGACAGGAACGGAGGGTCAGGAATCTCCGGAAGAAGGATCGGGGGCTGGAAGTGAGACCAGGAGTGCGGTCATAAGATGGGAAATGGTATCACAGCTCAAAAACAAAACAAAAAACGAACAAAAAAACCCCTGGAAGTTACGTCAACATCCAAAATCACATAGGGACAACTGTAGAATTGATGGGGCTGTGACTCTGAACAAAGAATTAAAGCTTAAGAAATTTAAGAGAAAGTAATTTGTACTGGAAGTGTCCCTTGTTGAGTTTCCATCTATACTCGTTGCAAATACCTAATAAACAATTGTTTGGAGAGCCACTTTGAATTGCAGCATCCTTGTCCTTCTGAATAGTAGCCGAGGAAGCTCCAATTTATCTGTCTGTGGTCATCTAGCAAGCTCTTGAGAAGTGATGCAGTACTTGCATCTCTTGATATCTGAGGTAATCAAGTAGAAAAATACTCCTTTGGGAATGAAAAATTGTTCTGGACATTTTTCTTACCAAAAAGTAAGTGATATCACCTATTTTCCATGCTATTTAGCAGTCCCTTTTAGGTACGGCTGCTTCAAACTGGAGTTTGTATTGATGTTTATTTTGGGACTGACTTGTTTCAAAGGCATCTTTAGAGAGGCCAGATTTGCAGAGGGGACCTCTGAGCTGAATCCTGTCCTGTGCTCCATTCAGATATCCTCCTCGCTGTTAGGAAATGTTTGCAGGCCGGGAGAGCAGAATACGAAGGATGACATTAGTGTGCTGACTGGAGGACAGCATTTTTCTGTAAACGCAGTGTTGTTTTTCCTGTTAAATAACTGACTCTGAGAGTACTTTTTAGATAAGCTATTTTTAAAGATAGCGTATCCACTAAGGATGTCATTGTGTGTTGCAAGAGGTCTAATATAAACTGTTTACTTACTGATCCTGTTGTAAATTAAGCTATTTCTTCCTTTTCTTCAACAGGCAGCCAGATAAACTAGTGGTGGTTTGGACCAGAAGAAGTCGAAGAAAATCCTCGAAGGTTAGTTGATTGGTTAATAAGTCCCAATTTTGATGAGAAATACTCAGATGTTTGAGGGCTATTTTCTTGACTGTAGGGAGCAGCAGAATAAATGAGAAGTCTTCATTGTTTTTTCTTCTTTTTTTAAATTCAATTTAGCCATCAAATTCAGAATAAGCTGCTCTTAGTGTCAAGACTAATTTACAGAAACACTTAAATAAGAACTCTAATTTCAGCATAGGTATTTATGTAGTGCAAGTGTATGATAATCAGTTCAATTGTAGTTATTAATTGCTAGACCTAATTAGAAAGAAAAATCTATTTCACTTCTAGAGGTATCTTAAATATAATTAAAAAAAAAAGTATAAAATGTATTAAAGAATCCGGACATCCCTGCAATAGGAATATACAGTCTGAAAAAGAGGCTGTTTTGCAACAAGAAAATACTGAAGAAATTAAGACGACGAAAAGCAGCCTCTTTTAGCCCTGTAGTGTATCTTTAATTTAGTGTTTTTCTCTCGCAAACACTGCGAGGAAGCTTATGAATTTGTGTTTTATGGCTAATGACTTGGCAGCCTGAAGAAAGGGAAGCTCCGAGTGAAGTCTGTCCAATATTTGGGCATTCATAATGTCTCTGTCTTGCATGTGTGTTTTGAGGTGTAAAAGTATGCAAGCAAACGGAGTAATCCTCTCTTCTGTGAGGTTTACCTTACTTTTCTCCCTGCAATAACGAATCTGAAAGCCCTAGGAGATTACTGTCCTGTTGTTATATGTTGCTCAGTTTGCCTGCACTGCCGAGTCTTACTGCTCTGATTTTAAGATATGGTTATCCTATGTGATGTCCCCTTTTCTTCTGAGGAGAAGGCAAAGGCAGGTTTACAGTGTCGTTCCCAGAGAAAACGAAGCTTAAAAATGTCTTCAATTTGCATTGACGTTGTAACAAATGGCAGACATTTCTAAATACCTCTGTAATGTCTTCTGTGGTAAGAGTCGTATTGACTAATGAGAGGAAAAATCCTTTGTCGGTCTTAGCAGTCACTGGTCAGCCAGGTGAGTGGAGAGCTGATTCCGTGTGTACAGCAGGCAGGTGAAGGCTTTTGAACGTTGTTCACACCGGGGGATTTCTTTGTCACCTTGTGTCCTCTGGCGTAGAGCTGCCCTCTCAGTCTATCCAAAAGCTGTCACTTAGAAGTGGGGAAACATGAATGAGCTGGAGAAGGGTGTCCTAGCCCCTGGGCAGGTTTGCAGAGGGAAGGAATGTGTTGGGTTTCCTCCCTTCCCTGGAGCAGCTCTTTTTAGAGATAACTTAGCCATACTTGCTGGTTCCCTCTCCCCACACCTGCTGCCTTTTACTCTAGTCAGGCTCATGGCATGTAATCTTGTCGAGAGAGGGAATCTCTGAACTCAGTCTTTGAAATATTAAATAATTATATTTAAATGGGGATGGTGTAAGCTTTTTTTTTTTAATGTATGTAACTCAGAATGGTATTTCCAAGAGCTCTGGGAAGCTAAAAAAGCCTGGATACTGATCGAAACCAACTGCAGAACCAAATGCATACTGCAGTCTATGCATCCTAACTTCTGCTTTAGGGGATGAATATCCAGAGATATTACCTGGTGAGTAAACAGGGATGTGAACTTAGTCTAACATGTTTTCCAAGATAATTGCTCCTGTGAATGCTTTTATTCTTTTGTGAAGCTAGTCAGATTATCCCTCTTTCACTAAAAGACAAACTAGCTCAAATTCCCTCAAATTTAGTGTTTCTAGGCAGTATCTGCTGATGTATGGTAAGTGGCCATTGTGGCTTACCCTATGATAACTTTTCTATTTTAGTATCTGTACAACACAGAGACAAAAGACAAAGTAGAACAATAAATTTGATACTCCCACAAAAACTGTGACTCGGAAAAGTTTGATGGAAAGCAGGATGTTTATCCATGAATGTTGTTTGTTGGGGTTCAGAATATATTCAGAAACAAGCCCTAACCAATGTCCAGAGGGAGGTTTGTAAAGTGCTGTGATCCTGTACCGGGCATCACGGCCGTGATGCCTTAGGTTCCAGTGGCAACATTGCATTCAAGTGAGAGGATTTTCTGACGCTAGCTCAGCTTTTGAGCTGAAGTTATTTCGGCCGGACCATAAAATTCTAGAATATGTCCCTCAGTGAGTGTCCATTCTTTTGGTCTTCAGACACTAAATACAGCTCTCCGATAAGCTCCCAGATTTGTCTGAGACTCAGCAGTCTTTAGCTAATTACTTAATTATTGCCTAGTGATATCCCACAAAGGTGCTTTAAAAAATGCTGACTGGCCCTAAGGCTTGGACTTTGGACAGGGTTTATTTTAAAGCTTAGGTAGTTGATGTAATTTGAGTGATTTGGGTCCAAGACTGTAGATCAATAAATGTTCTCAATCTCTTAGTCATCCTGCCAGTAAAATTCTTTATTCAACACGTTATTTGTTTCATCTAATTGCTTTCTTGGAAGCAAGTCAGATAAATATTTCTACTTATTTTTGACAGACACTGAGCTCAGAGTACCAAGCACTAACACTTTTCCATGTTTTTCAGCTTCTTTGAGAAGGAAGAGAGGGATGAGGTTGTACTGTAAAGATGATGTCAAGAATTCTTTGGAGATGATGAGTTCTTTTTCTCAACTTTTCAGATAATTAGGGATAACTAGGGATATCCCTAACAGATAGTTAGGGTACTCAAAAATGTAGTCTAACTTTAAAGATGATATAATAGTGCTATGTATGTATGGGACTGGCCTGCCTAGCTGAAGTAATCTTAAGATGCTTTTGAGCCAAAGACTGAGTTCTTGATGTCCTTTCAAGCCCTTTTTTCCTGTGATTTTCTGTGATTTTCATGTTGATGCCTTTGGCCCGCATACTTTTTCTTAGTAAACTACAAATGGTCCCTCAATTAGAAGAAATCATGGAAGGCATCATGTGCAGGAGTCTGAATATTTTAGTTGTTGCTCTGGGAAATGTGGGGTAGGGAGCTGTAAATGTGTTAGGTTATAATCTAAGTTTTAAAGAATGTTGCAACCAAACAACAATAGCCATTTTGAAAAAGCATTTAAATAGTAGCGTGATAGATCAGGATCTTAGACGTCCAGTGGTTACTGACCTTAATGCAGATTTAAATTACTTAAAACTCTCTTCTGGGATTCCCTCTCTCTGAGGGGGTCTGATTGTGATGCTTTTAAGGAAGTGTGTGAAGACAAGCTGGCTCTGTGTAGTTGGGCATCGTTATCGTGTGTGCCTGGAGTTTAGAACAGATTATGGTCATCCACAGACTCGCAGAATTACTGAACCAAGATTGAACTAAATTGAACTTCCATCTTGGAAAAAAAGTCACCAGTCTGCTAGATGTGAATGTTCTTATATCAGAATCTAGAGATGGGTCTGGCCACAACTTTTCCAACCCCGTTTATACAGTTACCAACATCCATAGTTTACAGAAGGTGAACCTTGTAGCAATGGACTTTCTTAACTCTTCCTCTTCAGCATCTATCACACTGGCAGGTTACCCCCAAATTTTCAGGCCCTGAGATTTTGGACTTGCCTTTTTTTGAGAGGAGGAGGAATGCCCTTGTTTTCATGTAGAACAAGGGGAAAACGTGTTGTAAAATGTTTGCCTTTATTTCACTGAGATGCTCTAGCATTTCCAAGCTTTGAACTATAAGAAATTTTATTTTGAAAAGAGATGTTGCCATGATGACAAGGAGGTACTTTCTGCTATTCCTGTGAACATATGCAGACCTCTGGTCAAATGATATGCCTCTGAAGAATTAAATTTGCGCTTATTTCTAAGAGCTTGACAGAATTATTCTTCAAAAGATCCTTTTTATATCAAAGCTGAGAAGAAGGTGCCTTTCCTGTGATTTCAGTTCTTTTGCTGCAGCTCTAAGGAAAGCTGTTTAAATGCAGGGGAGTAGGAACCACACTGGAGAAAGGGAAAGGACTTGAGCAGTAACGGCAGAGCCAACAGAACTAGAGGGACAGGGACAGAGTAAAAAGGATCTATATGCATCGGAGTGCATTTTCCGGCAATGGCACTCAGAGATCCTGAGATTTGGCATCTCGTTTTACTGCGTAAGAAATGACTGGTTCATTGGGCAAAACGTGCGTCTGTTTTGTCTCTAGTGGATAGCACACGGGTAGGATAATATCATGCTGTTACTGAACCAGACTCAAGGCTTCCCTGCCTGGAAAGGAAAAGGGGCATTGCTGTTGTTCATGCTCTAGGAGTATCTGGTGCCCTTGTTACACGCCAGCTGATCCCATCTCGGCAAGAGCAGCCAGCCCAGCTTCTGAAGCGTGTGGTGCAAATAAATCGGCAATTGGGCCACCCGTTTTGCTGTCCTTGGCAATTTGTTGTTGCCTTTGCTAGCTACTTCATTGCCTAGTGCGAGCCCTGCCTGCTTTTTGTTGACTTGAGTTACAAAGGCATGTGTTGTGAATCCAACATTTGATGACTACCTGGGACCAATGCAGTTCAGTAATGGCACTTCTGGGGCTTCTTGGCTTATTATTGAACAAGGAAATCATGCAGGCAAAAGATCTTAAGGTTGCGAAGGCAAGCACTCAAAATTAGATGAGTCATTTTCATGATTGGTGCATACCCTTTTAGGCATTGCAAGAAGGCAATTGCAGATTGTTTTTCCATGGCATTCCCACCTTGCTAAGCAGACAGTAGCTAGGGAGGACGTGAGGACTGAACAGTGAGTGAAATGGCTCATTTCATAAGGAAGTTGGAAGGTGCGTATGAAGGTATAGGACATGAAAGAAAGACTGCCTCACTGTGATGTGGTAAAATGCTGCCTTGGGGAATTGTGTTTTGTCCCATCCTCATCCACAAAGTTCCTGACTGAGACTATATAAGCTGTTAAAGCTTAATTTGATGTATTTTTCCACTTAGCAGGTGTCTAGCACATGGAGACTGACTTGCAGTGTTGAGCAGCCAGCATTGTAGTTGAGGTCAAAGAAATCTGTGCTTTGGAAAAGAAAACAAAAGA